TGTGGCACCGTCCTGTTGAAACCACATGTTTGTGATATCGATGTCATCAATAATAGGCCAAAATTGAGATGTTAACATCTCGCGATAGCATGATCCATTGACCGTTACCGCATTTCCAGCCTCATCTTCGAAAAAAAACGGCCCAATCACGCCTCCAGACCACATAGCGCACCATATAGTGACACGTTGAGCATGCAAAGGCTTCTCAATAATCGCTTTAGGATTTTCAGAAGCCCAAATGCGGCAATTTTGCTTGTAGACGTACCCTGACAAGTGAAAATGGGCTTCGTCTGAAAAAATGATTTTTTCATAAAAACCAGCGGGCTGTTCCTGAATGAATTGAGCGAATCTACGGCGATGTGAATGGTCGGTCAGCTTCAATTCCTGTACCAGTTGAACCTTGTAAGGCTTCAAAGCCAAATCCTTACGCAAAATTCGCCATGTGGTGGTTTTGGTTAACCCCAATTGTTGAGAACGTCGAGGAATTGACAAATTTGGATCTTCTTCAACACTGTGGCTCACGGCTGTGATGTTTTCGGTTGAACGACCCGGTCGAACACGCGTTGGTGTTGGCGCATTTTGTACCGAGCCTGTCGATTCAAATTTAGCGACCAAATTCTTAATAGCGGTCTCAGAAGGACGATTATGTTGTCCGAAAATATCACGAATTTTACGAAACGTAACTTTAACAGAACCACCATTTTCATAGTGGATTTTAATTATTTTAATGCGATTTTCGAGCGAAATTGAATTCATTGTAGCAATTGCCAAAGCATCTACTACGAATAGGTCAAAAAACTAAATGTCAAAACTGTCATGTTTTTGGTGTTGCCCCAATTGAAAAACAAAGTTCTTGTTGAAAAACCCTTTATGTGATCCCAGTGTCTTTCTTATTTGTTGTAGTATTATTTTTACACAGTTTCCCTACGCAAACTGGTATTTTACTTCGGATTATGATCAAAATTTAATAAAATATTCGGTACATTCACATCACATATCGCCTGCAACGCGACTGGCTCGGGTACACCGATTTCGGTGTAGTATTTGTTGCCGCATTTTACAAGAGCGCCGGCGGTATCTAGTCTGAACGCGCGAAGACCTATCATTAATCTAAGCTTGATATCGTTTATGTCAAATAAAGAAGGGAAAACAATCAAAAACATACCTAGAAAGCAGCATACCTAGAAAAAGACAAGAAATATACTTTTGCTTCTCCCATACTCTTATGTCTAACTATATACGTGCATTCCTTTCACACGCTGATGACGTCACTGAATGTTTAGTCTATAAGACACTTAGCATTTCCTATGTGATAAAGAAAGTCAAAACCAATGAATATTTGGTTTTATTCAACATAAAAGATTACATACATTATAAAGACAAAATACATTGACAAGTAATAATATATTAGGATGACAGGTATCTTCGTTTATAGCAATTATGAATAAGGTTGTATATTATAACAAATAGGTAAGTATACTACAATCACCCGTCCTTGAAGTTCCAACATAATCGCGCAGATATGAGGGAGGCCGTCTGTCACGAGTGGAACGGCGAAGTCCGCTATTTTCTGTATCATGCTCTGTACTGTCATTTTGAACATTTTCGGTTTGTTCAGATTGTACAGGTTCTACTGGCTCATTGTTTGTATTCATATCAGGGCGAATATTATTTCCATTATCTTGGCCATTTTCATTTTCCTCTTCACTAATCCGAATCATAGGTAGAGGCGCCAATTGTCTATTGAATACAGTGCATTCTGGGCCATCAGAGAGACGAACATGCGAGTAAGTTGGATTTGCGTGAAGAACTTCTGCTTCTTCAACAAGTGGATCATATTTGGATGTTCTCATATTTTTCTTTATGAGTACAGGTCCAGAGTTTATAGTAACGTAGGTCCGTCCGTCCACGTAGGTAAAGATTTTCTATTAGGCGAATGACGTGGATGATTGAACATTCTTTCATGGGGAGTGACGTTTGTAGTCGTACATAATAGCGACAGAAGTGAGTGTAACGCATTGGATAAGACTGTTTCCCAGTTTGAAATGTCCATATTCTTTGAAAATTCTTTCATGGGGAGTGACGTTTGTAGTCGTATATAAAAGCGACCGAAGTGAGTGTAACGCATCGGATAAGACTCTTTCCCAGTTTGAAATGTCCATATTCTTTGAACGAAGACTGAGTTGTATCGCTCTCCATAATGTGCCATTTATTCGTTCAACTTGGCCATTTCCTTGAGGTGTGGTTCTGCTTATAGCTATTCCAAGTGGTGTTAGAAAAATATTGAGCTCTTCTGATAAAAAAGTCGTACCTCGATCAGAATGTACGTATAATGGAAATCCGAAAGTGTGAAAAAGATCTTTCAAACATCGTATTACTGTAGCCGCCGATAAATCACTGCAGGGATACTCAAACAGAAACCTCGAGTACTCGTCTATAACTGTTTTATCTCAGCACATACTTTACAAGATGCTGTCATTAATCTTATTTCTTCAACAGAATATGGAAGATTCTTTGATCTTATCTTATTCTGGTAACATCAGGATGACATAGCTGGTCATGTAGTTCATACAGCTTATTTGGTTTCATGAGAGCGCATACTCTTGATAATGCATTAGCTACAGTATTTTGTCGTCCTGGACGTAAATTTTTTTTTAAATACTAATAATGCTATTAAACATTACTAATATTCCCTTTAACCACTTCTGGTAAGCTTAAAATGCTTGTGTTAGAAGTAGTTCACGACAGTAGTCGAATGGCGGATTCGAACCCACGACCTTTCGAGTTCGCGGTCCATGCCTTGCCATTAGGCTACTGACGCTTCAAATAAATTATGTCGTATTTGGGCCATTCTCAAAAACAGACTTAAAATTCTAAATTTTTTATTTTTATTTTGATTTGATTCAAAGTAGTCTCAAATGAAAGGTATCTTATCTTGCAAAATGGAGCACATAAAAGCCTAGCTACTTTCACTGTAGTTTTCACAAAAAAACATGAAACATGAAAACACCTCTCCACGGAATTGACACAACTCCACGGTAGTGACATATTTGTATAATTTTAATAAATTATTAATGATTTATGGACGAATAAATCGGTATTTTTTTAAATTGTTATCTATATATAACTAATCTGTTTGGTATTTATTAATGTTAAGTCTTAATTGAGTACGTATTTACGCTTAATTAATATTATGTTAATTATACCTATTACTAATAAGTTTTATAGGAATACAAGTTGGTTAACAAAACTTTTATTCTGGTCACATAAGCAACCTTTTAATAGTAATTAAATTATTATAATCAACATTATTTAGTTAACACATAACTTGCAAAACTCTTACGAAATAAAGTAACTGAGACTATTTAAATTATTATTAATGAGAAACCATAATAAAATAATAAAAAGTAGTAATATCTTAATCATTTTTAGACAAAAATAGAACCAAGCATAGAATCTTATTCATTAGAATAATCTTAGCCAAGATGAGGGAATGAACGTAATAATATTTTTTTAAAATTTCTTCGACCGCAATGTGATTGTGATAAAGTAACAATAATAACTACAATCCGAAACAATTTTACACTGTGGCCAAACAATCTCCGTGTATTCTTCATCACACTTGTCAACTGGAATCAAACTTGATATAATACTAAAATTTTTGTTTATAGAAGTAGGGTGACAAAAGAGCACCCTATTCACCTGATGGTAAGTGGTTGTTGTGGCCCATAGACATCTACATCTATCTTCGTTTGCGGATTAAAATGCAGATGCGTTCTTAGCCGTGAGGACTAAAATGGAATGCCTCTTTTCCAGTAAAACGGGTCTCCGGTTTTTTAGACTCACCATACGAAACACATCAGCGTTAGCTGCTATTTTACGTTGTCCCAGTACACCCCAGTCGAGCTGATCCATTCATGCTACAACCAAAACATAGCTGCAGCGTAGCTCTACCACCTAAAAGATTAGAGAATTATAATCCAATACAGTGAAAATTTAAACAATATAAAATGTTTCTGCCTTTTTGCAGACTGTCAAAAATTTTCAGGATGACGTTGTATTTGTTGACTGTATTCGTTCAGGAACTGTATTTACTGATTTATTGAATTGTGGCTGCGTTCAGTAAGTTTATCTATGAAGGTGATAATTTTTCTATGTACACAAGTTATGAAATATTTGGAATCATTTATTTCATTTGTGTTTTAATTATTTTCTTTTTTTAAAAAGATTTTTCTGTTTTATTTAAAAAATATGAAAAAATTAATTTATTATTGATATATATATATATATATATATATATATATATATATATATATATATATATATATATATATATTATATTAGCCTATAGTATCATAAACTGATTTTGCACACGACATGGAGGTGACATTTTTGTCACTTTTTTAATGATAATTTAGAAAAATATTTATGTTATTTAAGTTTTAATAAAAATCCTGTCAATATAATCTACTTCGATTAATTGTAGATAGGTATTCTAGAAATAATACAAGTATTTCATTTATAATAATTGCACAAAAAAATTGCAAAAATGAGAATGGCCCCTTTGTAGCAAGACAGTTCTAATCGCCACCGTTCAATTTTTTTCATTTTTTATTTTGCTTGAATGTTTTTGATTGAATCTAAAAGCAAAAGACTACTGATCGGTTATCAAAATAAAATAACTTCCAATAAGATAGTGGCGCCATTTACGAAGTGCTTCCACAATTGCGCTTGCTTCTTTTTCTATAGATGAATGTTCGCGTTCAGTGTTGGACAAAGTTTTTGAAAGGAAAGCTACAGGGCGACCATTTTGAGAAAGGGTTGCAGCTATTGAGTGCTCAGATGCATCGGTTTCTACTGTAAAAGTTTCGTCATTGTCAATAGCTGTCAGGGACGCTTTGGCTATTTCCAGTTTTAAAATTTTAAAACAGTTTATGGCTTCTTGGCTAAGTGAGAATCGTGTGTTATCAATCAGAGGCTTAGTAAGGTATGAAAAGTTGTTAACCCACTTCGAATAATGAGCTAACATACCCAAAGTACGTCTTAATGAAGCTGCATCTGTTGAAGTAGGGAGATCCAATAGTGGTTTCTTCGAATCGTTCTTTGTCTAGCTTGATAACGTTGTTCTTAATAGAATATCCTAATAGACTTATACTTTTTGATCCAAAAGTGCATTTCTTCTCATTTAACGTAAGTTTGTATTTCTTCACAACATTCATAAATTGCTGCAAGTTTTTATCGTGTTCGTCTCTATTTTTGCCACATACAGTCACGTCATCTAAATAACAGAAGGTGCCTCTTAGATTTTCAGCCTCAATTATGAACTGTAGCGTTCTCTGAAACGCAGTCACGCCATTAGTGACTCCAAATGGTATACGAGTAAATTGATATAGGGCCTCGCATGCTTCAAATGCTGTATATTTTCGTTCAGTCTCTAAAATCGGCACTTGGTGATAAGCGCTTTTAAAATCAATTTGGCTGAAATAGTTGTATTTTGCAACGTTGAAAACCATAGATTCAATGTTGGGTAGTGGACGCAACATGCATCGAGTTCAGTGAATCTATTAATTGTTAAGGAATAATCAATGACAAGACGTTTTCGATGTGTAGTGCCTCCTGTTACTAGTATTTGCGCTCGCCAAGGAGAGTTACTTGGTTCAATCACTCCATCCTTCAACAATTTAGAAACTTCTGCTCTAATAAGTTGTTCATCAATTTTTGTATAACGGCTTGACTTTATTGCAATTGGCTTTATGTTTGGAGAAAGATTCGTTAACAACGATACAGGAGGTACTGACGCTTCCATAACACATATTTTTAAGGAATCCCTTGAACCCCCAATGTTGAAATCTAACGCTTTTCAATAAATCATGTCCTAGGATAACATCTGCACATAGGTTATTGACAATTAGTAAAGGTTCATGTGAATATGTATGCTTGTCTAAATTTACCGTTTCATATGTAATACCTTCAACAAAAGAAATATGACTAAGGGAAGCCAAAGATATAGCCTGCTTATGAGGTCCCATCTTTAAGTTCACATTTTGGACTAATGTCTTATTTATAAAACTGACAGAACTTCCGGTGTCAATCAGAGCTTCAGCTTGGAATTCATTAATCATAATAGGAACTGTCGCTTTGCTTAAGCTAGATGGAGATGCAGCAGATGTACATTTGGTTTTAATAACATTCGCAACTTCACTGTTTACAGCATTTACACTTAGTCTACCACTTTTGCAAACAGTAGCGAAGTGCCCTTTCTTTGAACATAATTGACATATTGCGTTAAAAGCAGGGTATTTTATGCGTTGATGTAGATTTTTATTACCACAAAAAAAAACATCGCTTACGTTGACTTGCTGCAATGGCTATGCTATAATTCTCCGTGCTACTTTCTGGTTTTTCATTGTAAGTATCAGTTACATCATGTAATTGCATTTGATGATTATTGCAGTTTATATAAGTTAAAGAATTTTTTTCAGCAGTTTCTAAAGATGTAGCTTCATTTTGGGCTTCCTCCAATGTCAAAGTTATGTTTTCTAAAAGCCTTTGTCGTATCTTTTGACTTGCGATACCCGATATGAAGGCATCACGAATATAGTAATTTTTATTTTGCTCCGCCGTTACGTTTTTGAAATTACAATCGTATGCTAATTGCCTGAGAGCTCGAATATATTCAGTAATAGACTCCTCGGGCTTTTGTTTTCTGGTTGCTAGAGTATATTGTGAATGTATTTTATTTTGAGCCTTTGTATAAATGCTATCAAGCAATTGAATGGCAGTCACATAAGAAGAACAGTCACGTATTAGTGAATAGACTGTCGGCGACACATGGTTGACGAGCAATTTTAACTTAGTTGAATCAGAAATCTGATTTGATTGTTCGTGGCATAAAAAATTTGAAAACGTCAACCACCAGTGACTCCATTTTAGGTATACTGCCGGTGTATCAGGCTCGACGTCAAACCAGTATAGTCGAAGAAATCGCGACATCGTGTTTATTTCCGAAGAAGAACAGCTTGTATCGTTTATCGACATTTTAAAACAATTATGTTGAATAAATTGGTAAAGAAAGTCAAAACCAATGGATATTTATTCAACAAAAAGATTACATACATTATAAAAATAAAATACATTGACAAGTAATAATATATTAGGATGACAGGTATCTTCGTTTATAGCAATTATGAATAAGGTTGTATATTATAACAAAGAGGTAAGTATAAGTGAACGGCATAGTCGGGAAGGGTCGCCCTAGGCGAAAGTTTATCGACCAAATTGGCGATATATTAAAAATGGGCCAAATCAAGAGTACCTTTAACCGACGAGCGTGTATGCGTAGGTATATGGATGTGGAGGAAGCGAGAGAGGTGTGTCAGGATCGTGCCAAATGGAAGTCCATAATCTCTGCCTACCCCTCTGGGTGACAGGCGTGAGTGTTTATGTATATGTATGTAGGTAAGTATACTACACTGTGTCCAATATTTTCTCTATGAAGATTTTAGATTACTGCCCGTGCGTAGATAAAGGATTGACTAGATAAAGTATTCGCGTATGCTTTTGAGATAGAAATAGGTGGGAGGTACTTTCCCTGGGTTACCAGATATTGTCCCATTTCACCCTTTATAGGCTTATTTATATTCACAGCACTTAAATTCATACAAAAAACTTGTTGCCATAAAATATGTTCTTTTATAATTCAGATGATTAATTTATTTCTCTTGAATATACATTCTGTAACTAAAAACTACGGGCAGAAACGGCGTAAAAACAGAATTATCATGCCGTATTCAACGGCGCATCGTCGATTTTACTGGACATTCAATAAATTCTTTGGATTTTGACGGCATTAAGTGAAGACGCTACTAGCACAAAGTGTGGTATCGCTAATAAGTAGCAATATGTTAAGTATGTACTTAAATATTAATTAATAATCAAAAATTTTCTCGTGTCGAGTTTTATGTTGTTTTACAAAAAAAAAAATTCAATCATGTTTTAAAATACCAGTCCATCACAAATTCCGTGTTGAACACAGACCTCCGAAAGGAAAAGGTTTCAACTTAGGAAAAAGCAAAAGAACTAAATTTTGTGTGCTTACACAACATTTAGAAATATTAACAATGTTAAATTAAGTAAAACAAATGAAAACACAATTATATATTTAATATAATTCAATAAAATTAAAACAAACAAACGATTATTTATTAATTTTTCATCACATTATCACACATCACATTCAACAAAATTAACAATATTTTTGTCTTCTTCTAGAGCATTCGTTGTAATTCTTGGTTTGAGTAACTTTAGAATTTCTCAAAAATATGCATTTATAAACTTGATTTATATTTTTGAATGGCAGATTTATATTTTTTAGTGGCAGAACAGCAATTCTTGGGTGCTGGTTGTTAGAATCGGATTAGAAGGGAGTATATATATTATATGCCTAGTATATAATATATTTAGTAGTATAAATAATAAGGTGCAACTGAATTATACTTAGATAAGAAATACCAATCTCTTGTCAAAAACATCTTTATTACATTATTTATGTCAATTAAATGGAAATTATCATAATTACTACATTTATTTCTTAATTTATTTACACATTATTGTTTATAACACCTTTATAAAAGGGATTAAGGGTGGACTAAATGTCTCATTGGTAGGCATTCCCAGAGTTAATTTTACAATTATTATTGTATAATAAATTATTCATTTGTATATTTAGGTCAGGACTTAAAATTATTCATTTATTTATTTTATTTAAGTATTTACTGGCATAAAACATGGTAGTACAGATAAAGTTCCTACATTTGTAAATGAGGATTCATGTTTAATCAATCTATAAGTAAATATTTTGTTACTGTAATGCAATCAAATTACACAGTGAAAACTAAATAAATATAAATTACAATAAAATTATTACAAGTCATTATAATACAGAATGTCAGCATTTGAAAATAAAATATCAAGAACCATAAATAAATTAAGCAATGCTAGTCAATTTTTAATACTTGTCAAAAATCATAACTACCAACAAGTTTAAACTTATATCACTTATGTAGAAACAACAAGACACAACAATCAATTATAACATTTTAAAAATTTTACCTTAATTATGTTATAAATTACATAAATTAAGCATATTTAGTCCGCCTAAAACAATGAGGCTCAAAATGTTTTGAGCATACACTGCTAAGTTTTGTTGGTTACCTATAATCACTACCAGTAGCGATTATCCAACAATTACGGATAGCTGATTCCTTAGGAAAGCTGTAAAATAACATATTTAAAATAAATTAATATATTAAATACATAGTACACTTTTATATCAAGGTAATTAATTAAAAAAATCAAGTATGACTATCTGTGCATAAATACAAAACCTATAACAATTAATACAATATTAATTGATTTAATTAAGTAGCATGTACAGTCAAAACCGGATATAACGACATTGAAGGGACCATATAACTTCGGATGTTATATCCGATAGTTGTTATAAGCAGTATACAAACATAAAAATATTTATTCTGAAAAACTTGCAGGACCAACAGTACAGCTTATAGACTACAATAAGTTTTTAAAGTAATCAGTCATTTTGGTCTATTTTTTTTATGCCGAGTCTCAAATGTGTTTTGCATTTTACGTTTCATTCTCGTCAAGATTGCTTAATTATCATCAGCATTAAACTTTTCGTTAAAAGCAACAAATTTTTGTAAAACTATTATAGCATTAATAGCCTCGCATAGTGTTGTTGGTTGGAACTGCTCTTGGGGGTCTTCCTTTTCTTCATCAGTGTTACGATTATTACTTTCAACTTCTGCAAGAATCTCTTCCTCAGTAACTACGGCGCACACGTCGGATGGGGTGGAAGAAAGTGCGTAGGCATAAGTCAAAACATTCCTTCATAGATTAGAATAAGTTTGAAAATTGTTCGTATTGTTTTATTTTACAAGCACTACGGTTGGTCGTTGTAGCCGATGAATATCGATAAAGTTCCGTCGTTCTAAGCGATATGTCGCTGTATCCGATGTTGTTATAGGCGGTATGTTTACTTAACTGTTTATTAGGGATTCGGCCGGGACCTTACCATTCGGTCGTAATAACCGATTCGTCGTTATAAACGATGTCGTTATATTCGGTTTCGACTGTATATGTAAATGTAATGATAATATTATTCATACCAAACATTTAAAAAAATTATATACATATTAAGATTTAGATATTGTTAATTAACACATTTACAGACTAACAAATGTCCTCCACAGCTAAACATAGACCTCCCACATAGTTTGTTTGCAAAATAACTGCAGTTGCCAATCCTCCTGCCAAGCTAAGCAACTATCACAAAACCTATAACTTTTGACTTTTGATAATGACTAATGGTAACGGTAAGTATATTATCATCAATTTTTTTCTACATCATTAATTGAGAATATTATCTTATATTGTTGTGTTATTATGTACCTTAAGATTAAGACTTATTTATTTATTTATTATTTTATCTATATTTATATTTATTTTTATATAAGTATGACATCTTTATTTATTTTTTCATAAATATTGTAATGTAATTGTTGCTAATGTATAATAGAATTAATGGAATGCAATATAGTTTTGTGCATCTGATTTCAGGCAATACATATTTTGTGAAATTAAATATACTTTGCCCAATGTTTATCTACTTGAACCCAAACATGTTTTCAGGTTAGATATTTACATATTATTTGTGACATCTATGTAATATAGAAAATGATTGAAGAGTTGTAGGGCAATAAGGAGAGTTTCCTTTAAAGCTGAACATAACAAGTGTATGTATATGTATAACATTATGTGATTCATAATTATGGACATTACTACTAATCACAATAACTATTATTATTGAACAATGGGAAAACATAATTGCACTCGCTGATATCCCTAAAGTTTCCATAATCCTACCAAATCAAAAAGTACACGTTTGTTCTGACTTTAAGCTTTCGAATGACCATTCAAATTAAGGAGGATTATCATGAAGAATTTACAATTTGGGAGTCCAAATATTTAACAAAATACATCACGAAGTTCATTAACACTTTATATTCAAAACAATAAATATTAATCAGTACAAGTAGCAAATGTAAACACAAAACAAAGTTACCTATGAAAGGCATCCTAAAATGCTACAACTTACCATCTTTTTCACCCTACCTAATAACTAAAGCCCACAAAAACACTAAATTCAATTACCTGTTTGCTTATAATATCAATGTTATTCACAAAAACTTGACATCGTTTATGTCAAATAAAGGAGGAAAACAATCAAAAACGTATACCTAGAAAAAGACAAGAAATATAGTTTTGCTTCTCCCTTACTCTTATGTCTAACTATATACGTGCATTCCTTTCACACGCTGATGACGTCACTGAATGTTTAGTATATAAGATACTAAGTCTATGTGCTCGTAGCACGTGTGTGAGCAGAAACGTCAACAATCAACATCAAACGTCAAAATCAGTAATTTATTCGAGTTTTGGCGGGAACTTGAACGGCGGCGGTTTGCTGCTCCTGTATTATAGTTTAAATAATAGTTTGAAGTGGAATTTGATATGTAAAAGTGGTGCGATTTTATGTATTAACTGTCTGCGCATGTGAACTATTAGTGGAAACGGTGAAACAAGTGCTCTGATGGTGATGGATTCTCAAAATAAGCTGTTTGTTTGCATAGGCGCCTTTAATGCCATCGCCAACTGACAGCTGTCTGCTGGCTCAAGTTGCCGTCAAAATCTGCCAAGGGCTGCATAATGTGACGCGTCAACATATTGTGAAGCAGTGAAATTCTATGTACTCAAAATAAAAAAGACAAGGCTGTATGGCATAGTTCCTTTGCCTGCTCTTTCGAGCGAATAATAAAAACAACAACAACAGTAAGTTATTCAACAGCTGTCAAAATCAATTTCTGAAGGAGAGTTTTGGCGGGAACTTGACCGGCGGCGGTTTGCTGCTCCTGTATTATAGTTTAAATAATAGTTTGAAGTGGATTTTGATTATTAAAAGTAATGCAATTTTATGTATTAACTGTCCACGCATGTGAACTATTAGTGGAAACGGTGAAACAAGTGCTCTGATGATGATGGATTCTCAAGATAAGCTGTTTGTCTGCATAGACGCCTTTAGATACCATCGCCAACTCTCAGCTATCTGCTGGCTCAAGATGCCGTCAAAATCTCCCAAGGGCTGCACAATGTGACGCATCAACATATTGTGAAACAGTGAACTATGAAGAATAATATAAAAAAGACAAGGCTGTATGGCTTAGTTCCTTTGCCTGCTCTCTCGAGCGAATAATAAAAACAACAACAACAACAATTCCTGAAGGCCGTAGAGCCGTAGACGTACCTACCGTACTAGACATTTATGGCATATTTGTATAAGATACCTATTATATCACCTGTGGGTACTAGCATAGATTACTCTATAATCATAGATGATACAGTATATACGTATATATACTAGGGTACTAGTAACTAGTACTAGGTACGTATTACGTACCATAGTACCACATAGTACGCCGATCTCCGCTAGAGTAATAGTGTTTTGTGACGTCGCGCCGATTCCCCTCGATCAAACAACAATCTTGCTATTTTGTATTTATTATATCAATAAATAATTATTATTTAGATCTTACCTCAAAATGCTTAATACTTGTGTAAAGTTATATTCTCATTTTAAAGTTAGACCTTGCTTTATAAATACTTACTTGGGTAAGTAAAACAAGTTTTATTTGTAATTTTCCACTGTTTTGTTTACACTTTGCTACCTACATACATAGTCCTGTCAGTTTCTTGTAAAATACTTCAATGTTCTCTAATTGTATATCTTTTTTGTTAGGTCGTACAAATCAAGTGGGTCAAACTATACACAATACGTGTGCCGTAAAGTTTCCGCAAGCAGTCACTCTTAAATTACCAAATAATGTAGTCGATATAAATGCAGCTGAAATGGGAAGATTTTCTCCTCTGAGAGAAAGGGATATATCAGGGCCTGTAATTAATGTATATGGATATAAACAGGCCTTCCGTGATATTGACATTACTTTGCAAAGTGATCCACATATTAATAAATACGACTGTCGAGGTGCAGTGAGCCTATCTTCATCCATGCAGAGTAATGTGCCTAGCCCCTTTAGTGGCAGTCATACTCATCTCAATATGCCAGGGTCTCAATGGGGCCAAGGCTACAAGTATTTGTCTGACCACCTGCATAGTGCTCATTACTTGACACTGAGAAATGAATATCGAGGAAAACTCTATAACAAAGGTACATAAGAGAAATTAATTTTAATTTGTTTGTATTTTGTTGTGCAATTGTAAAATATTTTAGTCTCCTGTAAAGTTAAGTTTATGCACCAAATTATTTAATTGTAGCAAATTTGAAAAGTTGTCTAGTGGGAGCCTCCTACTGGCCTTGTGGGGGACTAGATGGAGTGACAACCTGGTAAAGGTTGCAGGAAGTTGATGGATTCAGGTGGCTAAGGACTGTGCTTTGTGACATTCCTTGAAAGCGACCTATATTCAGCATGACTTGTATGGCTGTAATGATGATGTAATTTTTTTCTATAAAATACTATTAAATCTGTATGTATTTTTATTATAATCTAACAATACTAACAAAATAACCAGGACTTCTATGTGTTTAAATTACCTAAAGTATATTTTTCATATTTTCTCTCATAATTATGTTAATTTTTCAAAGCATAGCTGTCACATTTGGAACACGCAATATGAGCTCAGAAGCGCAACCGACAATTACTGCAAAAGAGAAACTGAAAAAGGCTGTGAAAGAGTATGGTTCTACAGTCATTGTATTTCATGTTTTTATTTCATTACTGTCTTTGGGAGGCTGCTATGTCCTTGTGTCTAGGTATGTTATTTTAGTGTTTGCTTAATTATAAATAACTAACTGTTTAACTTTTCACAAAAGCAAAATTCATTCAAATATTTAGTTATGTGTACTTATTTACCTTATTTTTAATTAACTCTAAAAATCATGTCTATACATATGCTGTGGTGGCTGTGTAAGAGTGTGGCGTAGCATGGGTTACTGTTGCCCTCCCTCCCCCTAATTTTCACAAAATTAGTTAAAGTTCTTTAAGTATATTATTTGATAATGAATAAAACAATATCCCTACCCTTGGCAAGTGTGTCTGTGTATATCTATATCTTTTTTAGCAAGATTATATCTCTATTTTTAAAACTTTAAATACTTTACAGCCTTCATTATATATAATCCAAAACTATTCAGCTAATGGTTTTTAGTTATGGTGATAGCTGACTTTTCTTTCTCAAAATACTTCCCCCTAATATTTGCCACCTGGAGACCAAATCTACCTCTGCTGTGCATCTGAAAAGATACCATTGTCTCAGTTCATCCCTGCCTCTCATAGTAAAAGGAGACTATGGGAAATTCCAGAAAATTTATATGACATCAAAAGATGGTGGTCATGCCATTTTGTTTACATCAAAAGTAAAATACCCAGACTGGTGATAGAATAACTAAGATTTTCAATCAGTCACTTGGCAGAAAGGAGTCCAGCTGTGGACTTTTACAGGCTAAAAAAGAAAAAGAAAGATTTCTTTAAAATTCATTGAGGTTATGATTTGTTAACAGTTGATTGGTTCTAATTATCTATAGATGTAAGTTCACATGTAAGATGTAATATAATTATGTGGATAAATAAAATAAACTTACTTTTTTTGCAGTGGTGTTGACATGGTAGCAATTTTGAGATATTTTAACATAAATGAAAGTACACTCTCAAAAATAGCAGTATCAAATGCTGGGACCTTTGTAATTGCATATGGTGTACATAAATTTTTTGCTCCATTTAGAATAGGAATCACACTAACAGCTACACCATTTATCGTTCGTCACTTAAGAAAAATTGGCATACTGAAACAAAATATTACGTCCGGTGGTGGTAAATAAATGTTTTCGAATATAGTATTTGTTGTTTCATTTATTAACTTTATTTTACTTAATCCAGATATTTTAAAAACAACTGTCCCTTAACCTAATATTTTATGGAAATAAATTCAGGAAAATCAGGTTTACTCCAGGTCACTGAACCTTTATATATTATCAACATACCATTTTTCTAAAGAAATGTTTAATGAGGCCATAGATGTGCCGTAAAATAATTTTACTTCGTGGTTACCGCCGCCCCGCGCACCCTCCGCACAACACTCCGTAGCGTAGGATCACTCGCATTCGGTCGTAATATAATACTTCATAGTGAACTATGTGATCGGTGTGGCACCCAAAACATTGATTCGCGCCATTCCTACTCCAGGTAGTGCTTCTTTTCCGCAAACGAATCTATTTGTTTTTTGGTAGGTCTTTCTCTACCCGTGGACATGGAGGACAGATATGATTGATATTATGTCAGTCAACCCAGACTACCTTCAGTTTTGAAATATTAAGTTTTAGTCCGATCTATGCAGAAAGAATTTACAGTATCTTAAAGTCCTGTAGCATACTATGGCTTGGGTTTTAATTTAATTTGACTTAATACTAGCGACCCACCCCGGCTTCGCACGGGTGATTTCTGAATTTCGACAAAGACGCCACCTACCGGCTCTAATTGTGAATATTAACCATTTAGGGACCTACTCAAGTACAGAATATTTCATCAAAATCGGTCCAGGTGTTTAAGAGTTCAGTTACGAAAACATGGACAGAATAATTATACAAATAAGGATAGAATCTTAAGCAAATAGTATCACCAAGCTATCTTCTCCATTAATGTTACATTTTTTAACAGTCTTACAAACCTTTGATAGGAATCAATCTTATGTTTGACCTATGTAAGGGAAACCAAATTTAGAATTAAGCTTGTACACTAGTTCAACAAGAAATATGTTAAAGTTAAACAATAAAATCAATACTATTAGTTTTTTCAATTCAGGTTAATTAATAGAAATGATTGTTGAAAAAAGTCGGAGTTTGAGTTGAGATCGGAAACCAGGATTTACGAGTAGCAGGCATCGATCACTAATAAAAAACTAGATGCACAATACCATACAAAAGTTCTCTAAAAACTGTCGCTAAATGTTTTGACGTAATTCTAGTTGATATAAATATACATTAATGTAAATTCAACCTTAAATGCATTGCATAAAGTTGTATTGACAAAGCTACGTGCAAAAAGCAATAAAATTTTACGACCGAGGCTCGTCGCTTGGACAAGGATAGTAGAGTCGAACTGCAAAATATTTTTTGTTACAGTAATTTTAATTTTATAAGTTTGTTAAATTTGTTTTAAATAATTGGTCTACTTAATAAAGAATATTCTATTCTATTCTATGGTGTATATGTATAATGGTTATATTATTACTTGAATGTAAATATGCTTTTGGATAGGGCACTACATTCATTTACTAATGAAAGTAATTGAAACAGTCATAATTATTTATTTATTCTTTATCTTGTGTGAAAAAATTAAAGATACTGCTTGACAAACAACTAAAATCTAAATTTAATAGTAACTAATATAAAAAATATGTACAGAAATATCTTGCAAAATCTAAGAATATTATTGTCCAAATTTTTGATGTTATTTTGATATTTACAGATGTTTAAAAAACGGATAAGACTGACTAATTATAATGATTTCTTATATTTACGCGTTCATTACACATTTAAGTAAAACTAGTTTTACGGACTTTATCGCGTATATTAACTTATTTTATATTCCCGACGTTTCGAGTACTATAATATTTAGAGAAATAGTAAAGAACTCTCATTAAACAGAAAAAAGACCATCTTACTTTAATAATAATAAAAAAAAATAAAAAAACAATAGCGTCTCCACAAATTGAACAGAATCAACGCATATACCTCGAACAATGGCGACTCATTTTATTACGACTTAATTTAAAAAATATTTCTACGATGATTTCTTGACAAAATATCGGTATTTAAAATACAGTGATAACAATTAAATAATGTTAATAGTTACCGAAAATATGAAAATCAATCCTTTTTAACGTACTGGATGTGTGATTTTTACACATTTTAAACGAGCACTGAGGCATGTTTACCGTTGGAGCATTTGAATGCTACTAGATTAAAAGTGCACCCATATGTTCGAGTGGGTGCACATTCGGTTACGCCATTTTTTGTCACTGATTGTGTATCTAGTTTTTTATTAGTGATCGATGGTAGCAGGTTATGTTTGCAGCTGAGCCTTTTTTTTGTTCTTAATCATCAGCTCCTAACAGTCCACAGCAGGGCTTGGGTCTCTACGCAAAGGCGAAAGCTATGTGATACTCAAGACTCGACTTACAGAAAACGAATCCTTCAAGGCTGTAGGGGAGATGAGCGGCAGGCCGATTGGCGATAGCAATATTTAGATATCTCGTATTTTAGACGCTACTCCCTGTTGCTGTCTGTTTGTAAGAGGCAAAAGCTATGTGATACTCAAGACTCGACTTACAGAAAACGAATCCTTCAAAGCTGTAGGGGAGATGAGCGGCAGGCCGATTGGCGATAGCAATATTTAGATATCTCGTATTTTAGACGCTACTCCCTGTTGCTGTCTGTTTGTAAGATGTAAAAATCTGGTATTAACGAGATGTCTATGATATGAATATGATATTTCACTATTTTAGAGGAATATGTATATAAAATTAACACAGAATTCACCTATTTTGCTTATACAGACAATCTGAAACATTTTATAAGTCAATTTTACATAAATTGCTGAAATTTACAAAAACTTAAATTTCTATTTATTAGACCTCCTAAATTGCAAATCAGCGCGCGGCTTTTATCTAGCACTATCATCATCATCATCATTACAGCCCTTCACAAGTCCACTGCTGAACATAGGCCTCCCCCAAAGAATGCCACAAAGCACGGTCCTGAGCCACCTGCATCCATCGACTTCCTGCATATCTTACCAGGTCGTCACTCCATCTAGTGGGGGGACGCCCTACACTTCGCCTGCCGGTACGAGGCTGCCACTCGAGAACCTTTCTTCCCCATCGGTTGTCGGTTCTTCGAGCTATATGGCCGGCCCATTGCCACTTCAGCTTACTAATCCGTTGGGCTATGTCGGTCACTCTGGTTCTACTGTGGATATCCTCATTTCTGAGTTTATCACGCAGAGAAACTACGACCATAGCCCTCTCCATAGCTCGCTGAGCGACCTTGAGCTTCCTCATCCGGCCAGCAGTGAAGGACCACGTCTCAGTTCCATATGTCATCACTGGCAACACGCACTGGGTGTACAGTCTCGTTTTCAAGGTTTGAGGTATACCTGACGAGAAGATGTGCCGTAATTTCCCGAACGCTGCCCAACCGAGTTGAATCCGTCGATTGACCTCTCGGTCGAAGTTGGACTTACCTAGTCGGACTATTTGTCCCAGGTAAACATACTCGTCAACAAAGCTTAGTGTTCCCAACAACTACCGGCATAGGTGTGACATGGACATTAAACATGATCTTTGTTTTGTCCATGTTCATCTTAAGACCTATCCGTTGGGAAACACTATTGAGGTCATTGAGCATAGTGCTTAGGTCCTCCAGCGATTCTGCCATAATGACTATATCGTCGGCAAATCGAAGGTGAGTGATGTACTCGCCATTGATGTTGATACCGTATCCTTTCCAGTCCAGAAGCTTGAAAACATCTTCCAATGCAGCGGTAAAGAGTTTCGGGGATATGACGTCACCCTGTCTTACACCTCTCTGCAATTGGATAGGTTTCGTACTCTGGTTCTGTACTCGGATAGCCATCGTAGCCCTACTGTACAAGCACTTCAACACTTCGACATACCGACAGTCAACTTGGCATCGCTGAAGGGACTGCAGCACCGCCCAAATTTCGACGGAATCAAAGGCTTTCTCATAGTCCACATACGCCAGACATAGTGGCAAATTGTATTCCTGGGACTTCTGTACAATTTGCCGAAGGGTATGTATGTGGTCTATGGTGCTAAAGCCTTTTCGGAAACCGGCTTGTTCGGGAGGCTGGAAGTCGTCAAGTCTGCGCGCGAGACGATTCGTAATGACTCTCGAAAACAGCACGTAGACGCGGCTCAGAAGGGAAATCGGTCTGTAGCTTTTCAAGAGAGCGTTGTCGCCTTTTTTGAAGAACAAGACCACCGCACTTCTGCTTCACGCCTCCGGTGTAATGCCACCATGGAGGACGGAATTAAAGAGCTTCTGAAGGACTTGAAGTACCGGTTTTCCACCCGCTTTCAGAAGCTCCGCTGTAATTCCATCCTCGCCTGGGGCCTTGCCGTTTTTAAGGTGCTGGAGAGCCATTCTAATCTCGCTCAGACTGACGTCCGGGATATCATCGGAATAATGTCGGATAAGACTCGCTCTTGGATCGTTACTCACACTTGCGTGCGGCTCCAACGATGACGTGTACAGCTGTCCATAGAACCTCTCAATCTCACTCAAAATCTCAGGTGCCCCGGAAACGATGCTGCCACATTCGGTCTTCAGCTTTGACAGTTGGCTCTTTCTGGCAGACAGATCTCTGGCAAAGACTTTGGAGCCTTGGTTCCGCTCGATCGCTTCTTCAATATGAGCTGTATTGAAGTTGCGTAAGTCCCGCCGCATGCATTTAGAGATCTGTCTGTTCAGTTGCCTGTATGCTGTCAAATCTGTTGAAGAATGTAGCTTCATCTCCCGTCTAACAGCCATGAGATTAAGAGTGTGATCGGAGAGTTTTTGTGTTCTTCTGCGGCGGGTCTTGCAGAACATAGCTTCGACCGCATGGACAGTTTCCATGAGCTTGTCATTCAAATCGTCCACTTCATTGCAGTCTTCTAGGCACTGAAAACGGTTTTGTAACTCGAGCTGAAAGGTTTCGGGAGTTTGGATTAGAGCACGAGGGGGACGGAGCGTTGACTTCATTAGACGAGACCTCTCCAACTTAACGTTTAGGTTCAGTGTGCCTCTGACCATTCGGT